CAATTTTTTTTAAAAAAGAAGAAATATTTCCAACATATTTAGAAACATGAAGCTATCTGCTAAGTATTTAGTGGCCACAACTATGGGAACTACAGGCAACAAAAACACAACCATGACCACATTGTACCATTTCTCCCAACAGCATTTCTCATCCACATTCTCCAGATGTGGCCTAAACACCCATTCAGGGGCTGGATAAGTGATGGTAACATTCATTTTTTGCTGCTCCTCATCAGCCTCAAATTTTTATGCAAACAAGTAGGAATTTTTGCTAGAGTGCAGTATAGGCAGTTTGAGCAATTACTGGTATTTTTGAAGATTTAAGAATCTAGCTGACATCAATATGGATCCATACATTAATTTAGCTTTTTATAAACTAGAAGTAAAGTGAGTTTTAGCTCCTTAAAAAAGCTTAAACAAAGGAATGACACAAGTGGAGGAAGCACAAAGCCACTCCAAGCTTCCTCTGACAGCCTGCCTTAAGCCTCTTCCAAAACTTTGCACAGCTCGGCATGTTCTCCAGGCACTGGGAGGGACCAGGGGGAGCTGCTCCCATATGGGCATTTCAAGGGCCAGCATCTGCAGGATTTAAACATCTTCTACAGCACGGCAAATAGATAGGCCAACGCTCTAGATTTGCTGGCTTTCTCCTTCCATTGTCAGCAGAGACAGAACCAACAACCACAGCAGCTCTTGCACACGTTGTCTCGGCTTTAAAAGACAAGAAGCCCACACATCGCCAACAGACTTGGCTAGAAACAGGGCTATTGGGACATCACCATAAAGAGAGTTGCCAAAGCTGAGATTAATCACTACTGTATTTGGAAAACAAGCAGAAGGCCCCAGGGCAATAAAGGCCATACCAACTCACTGTGAATCAGGGTCAACTATTTTTATTTTAGTGACATCAAATGTCATTTGGTCTTGCCAATGTCAACTGTTTTCAAACTGATTTAATTGGGCCAGTGGCCAATCATCAGTGAAGATCACAACAGGATCATTTCAAAGTGAAGGAAGAACTCAGGGATAGCAAGGTAATTTTTTCTCCATTACCACGCTGCTTGTCAGTATAAGGACCAATATTCCCAACCTTGTTATCAACACAAGCTAGCAGGCAACAGCTTGAGGTCAGTCAGCTCCAAAAACATTGGTTAGCTACAGTACTTGGTAAAGACTTCATCCTTTGACCAGGATGCACAACACCTGCACCAGTGAGAAGTGAGCATATGCCCCTTCTCTGATCCATTCGGTTCTCTATAGATCCCTTTAATCAACTTCCTCAGAGCAATTACAGACCACAGCCAAATCTCACTGCACTAAGCAAGTAAAGCGTCAAAACTCAGAGCAAGAAAAAACATGAACTCATACAATGAGCAATGAACATGTTCTGCCTCACTCAGTACTTTAGAGAGATGCAGTACGAACTCCAAAAATTTTACGATCAACCATTTCTACAGCTAGCCAGTACTGTAACAGTTATTAAATGCAATTAATGATAGATTCTCCTTAATGCTCCAGAAATCCCACAGCAAAATGACGCATTTGCCTAGTTTCAAAAGGGGAGACTCAAGCCTCAAACAGAGGCTCTCTTGTTCGCTCTCTCTCTCCGACAGAGACCTGCAAAGGTGTGGCTGCTCAGACAGTGGGAAACACATATATGTTACCTGCTACCATGACTAACCATTTTAATATATCCCATAAAAAAAAAAAAAGATCCTGCAGTAATCAACATTGTCCCTCATTTTACTTTAACAGTCTCCACATCGTGGGTTCTTTAGCAGCCATCAGCAAGCAGGTTTTTGCAACTGAAAGATCTGCGAGAACTTAACCCTTTGAAGGGTAATTAATAGACAAATTCAGTGAGCAAACTTCTAAAACTGAAAAGTCATTTAATCTGGAAAAAGGGAAGGGTAAATGTGATGAGGAAGCCAAGTTATACCTGCTGAAGCACAGACAAGAAGTGATCTTTATGGCTTGAACCATAAAGCCAAAATCTACCAACATCCAGGTTTGTTCACAATCATACCCAGCACAGACCCTGGAATCTGACAGAACAGGAAGCTCCCAACACTATGGAAAGTACCTGGATTCATGCTTCTGGATCAGGCCTATCCCTGTTTTAAGTAGTAAAATAAACTGTATTAAGAGGAATTTTGCTTTAAAAAAGGCTATCAGCTATACAGATATACCAGACAATTTTATGATCTGAAATGTCATCTAACTTCTGAGTAGCCACTTCTTTAGTAGCCACTGATGTCATGTTCCTCAGACACAGGGATTACAGTTCCATGAACTCAAGTCACATACCTAATTGCTTCTGCCGAGTGCAGAGAGGGGCAAGCATTCTTTCATGATACCTATCAGTATCCATCGATAAAGCATTAGGATACATCTTCTCCATTCTAGGAGACCCAGCCCATGCAATTCAGTGACTAAGCCATAAGCTTCCCTTAGATACCTTCAAATGAAAGAGAAAGGAAAGTATCAAGAGCAACACTGTATTTTTGAAGTTTTTGTTTCTCTTGAGGAAGCAGCAAATTCATGTTCCTATTGTTTGTCAGGAACTTTCCCTCCCACTTCCAGCCTGTAACTTAAATAGATTAGATATTTTCAGTCAGTACGACGCTACCCTCATTTTAACTTAAGCTAAAGAATTAGTATTACTTAATTAAACAAGCCCACAGCTTCAATCTATTTTAAAAACTCTCCCCAAATGTTTTAAATTCAGGAGAGAAGAAATTTAATAATCTTTAATATATTCTAAAACATTCATATTAAACAGTTCGGCTAATTTTAAAAAAGCTACTTAAAAGTGCATATCCCAGGTAGTAAAATACAAAAAAAAACCCTCCGAATATCTAAGAGACATGTACAGATACAACATTATACTAAGCAATTGCATACAGAACTCAGTTACAGTATAAATGGTCTTTAGCTCCTCCCAGACTATTGAGAGTCAAAGGTTGCACAGTTTCATATGAAAGGGGAGATTAGTGCCAAGATCTTGAACTTGCTGTGAAGATGCGGCTGTGACAAGGATAAATGAATTCTTCATATCTCACCATCACAATAACGTGATTTTAAGCTTTGTTGTAATAACACATTTTCAGGACCAAAATAAGAGAACGATCAATTCCCACAACTGTTCTGCTTATGCACAGTACATCAGTCAGATTCAGTACAAACATACAGATACAGACACAGTATATACAGCAAGATTCACAGCACAATTTCTGGACTACAATAAGAACATGACTGTTATACCCACTACTGCAAGCCTCAACTACTACTTAGCATTGAAAACTAACTTAAGGTAGTTTAGCTGTACATCGCTTTATGAGATTAATTACAGAACCCGACAGTTCAGTCAACAAGAGACTAACCATATCTTATGATTCTGAATCACTTTTACCCTGATTCTTACTTCTCTTCGTATGTTGTTAAAAGAGGTCACATAATTGTCTCCAAGGTAGAGTAGTCTCATAAATAAAAGCTTTCAATGCCCGAAGGACAAGAGTCCTGGAACATCAACCTTTCAGGAGGGGTAGAGCAGGACAAAGGCTCATCTTGTCCCCTGCCCTCCCACAGGCCATTTTCCTTGTAGACTCCACATACATTTAAATGCTGTTCAGTGGGTAACAGAAAACCAAAAAATAGCTTCAGCCCCCAGTTATTACTAAATGAAATTTCCCTCTTAGAAATCACAAGTCTCAGGAATCCTATCAGCATCTCCAATCCTGTCAGTAACTCCCATGCTTAACAACTGAGAAACAGGTTAGCCGTCTTCAGAAATACATAAGCCTCTTGCACATCATCTCAAAACTAAGTTATGGCAGGCGCACTGAACTTGTATGGAGTCATCAATTCCATGACTTTTCCAGAAATCCCTCTTTTAGACTTCCTTGAGCAAATCCTGAAGCAGAAGTAAACAGTGGCAGTAACACGGGCTAGCAGTACGCAGTCTGTGCTGACAATAGCATCAAGAGGCACTACTGCAGTTACACATTCTTACCTCTTACGCATTCTTACATCTCTTATTTTAAGGGCAAGGTTTATATATAGTGTCTTTCATGCATGTAGGAGATGAGGTGTCCAGGATGAGCACAGATCGTTTACATCAACTCCTACACCCTCATTTTCCTGACCATTACATGATTGACAGACAGACATACAGGATCGTTTCTCCAGTCTGCAGTGTTTGAAGTCCAGTTTATACTGCACAGCATTAAAATTCGGCAAAAGTTGTGTAAAAGGAAACAGCAGAACAGTTGCCCCTTTTAACAAGGGGCACAAACATACACAAGCGTGTTTATACAAAAATTTTATTTAAGTAACTGAAGTCACTCCTATGGCTTTTCAGTAGAACCCAACATGTATCTAAGTCTATGAAAGCGCTCAGCTGTCACCACTGCTGTTTTAGGTGAGCACTATTACAACAGAGGAACACTGAGGGTCAGTTCAAGGACGTTAAAGGAAGATGGTCAGAACACGGGTGCATAAAGAAGTCTGCCTTGAAGACACGTACAAGTTTCATGTACAAGTTTATTTTTCCTAATTAATACTACATTGGTTTGTGGTTAGTTTTATAGTGCTAAAGATATTTCTTTATAAAGTATTTTCTGCAAGCAGCCTCTTTAAAAGAAGGTTACTTGTTTTAAACAAGTTTTATACTCAGAAACATTATTTCAATTTCAGTAACCCGGGGGCGGGGGGGAGGGAGGGGGCACAGCCTTTTTGCTACAATCTTCAACTGCTATCACTGCCTTCAAGCACAATTTCCTCTTCTTTTTTTAAAGGGAAGAAGCAGCCTCTGGCCATGAGGGATAGCCAAGGTAGCTGTACTGTTTCATAAAGAAAGCATAGCTGAAAGTGCTTTTACACAGACATGATTTCCTCTCCATTTCCTGTGGCAAGTTTCTTTAGCAAGCTATTAGCTCCTGCACTAACTGAAACCATATAGCAATGACCATAGACCAATTACCAGAGATCAGAAATCTCACCTGATAGTACGTCTTAATGTTTCTGATTAAGATGGTCAAGTTTTGAACCCGAAGATAGATGTCATTATTCACATGCTTGTTAACACGTTGGTTGGTTGGCCGAGGATCTCTATGAAAAAAGGAAAAAGATCAAGTATTATTGGTTCCCTTGGTGGTAAGGCTTAATATCTCACTAACGCACCGTTAGGAAGGCTCTTAAATATTTGTGTATTAAATGCATTGACATAATTATACATGATACATTAATTCAAAATACAATTAAGCACATTACCTTTGCACCAAGGTACAACTTTGAAACATTCCCTGTGTGCCACCAGGAAACTGTATCAGGTTAATCCACATGGCAATTTAGGGCAGCTTCCTTCCTTATTTCCTTGAATCAAAGGGCATATGTAGTTTGTGTACACTACACCAAGGCAGCCTCGGATAACAAGGTTTTTATCTTATTTGAATAAAGGGAAGCCTAGGAAAGATTATCATATATCGGCTTTAGAGTTGAGACTAAAGGAGGAGAGCGTTACTACTTGATCACCGTCCATAATGCAAACTGCAAAAACCAACATGTATTCTGTATTGAAGCGGTGAAGGGAAAAAGGAGGACCTGCACTTTTATTATATCTGTATCATCTAGTTGGACTCTCTCTCTCATATGGCCAGCATGTTGTAAAGAACAGCTCTCATTCTATGAATAGATTATAAACATAGGTACACATACATGCACAAAAGAAAAAACGAAAAGATCAGGCAGAGGAAAGACAACTAATACTTTTGTTTAATTAAAAAAAAAAAAAAGGTAAATCAAAACTATACCTGAACAAATTTTATTTCCTGGGTAGGGATAAGGGGGACACAACAGCAAAAAGACAGAAATGATTAATATGAACGTGTATCTTCAGATTCTATGTTTGCACCCTGACACGTTGCGAAAAAGTAATCTGAAAACCTTTATCTGCTAATACCATAGATCAAAGCCATGCATTTCCTCTATAATAAAGACTCTTATCAACAAACTCCTACACAATCCAAACACCTGCCTCCCAGAGCTCTGCTCTGGCTGTTAATTAAGCCATTCACAGCTCTTTCAGGGCCAAATATTGAATTCAGGTGTTGACAAGGAAATAAAAGAGGAACCGATCCAATATTTTGTTTTAAAATATGCCTGGTAAGGTTTACATAAGTATGTCAAGCTTTTTAAGGCAGGAACATCCCAAAGCATCTCTCTAATGAAAGCAGTGCTTTGTACATAAATATGACAGTGTATGTAGATATTCCACAGAGACAGAGAGGACTGAGCAGAAGATAATATCAGACACAGTATCTGTGTAGCAGGGGTTCAAACAAATTGAAGTACAGATGATCAAAACTACCAGTGACATAAAGCAGCAGGCATCTATACCACCTTTAGAGCAGCAATGGATTTTGCATGCTGCTTATCACGTCAACATATTATGAAAAAGAGAAAAAGAGATAACTGTAACAAGCTTTTAGAGTAAAGCCAGTAATAGAGAGGTCCATACAGTTTCTGATGTTCGCCCTGACGTTAACAATTCTGTTTTACTGATGCTAAGATAGCACAATGTGGAAGCCCCACATACACACACAGTTTGATGATGTAGCTCTACAGCAACATAGCAAATAGGAGAAGCATAAATGGCACCTGGGCTTGAACTGTGAAATTAAGTACACTCCGAGCAGATGTTGACAGAGTTTGATCCTGAAGCAAGCTGGATGCTTAGCAAAGATAAGATGACTGAACACAAGGGGCAACTTAAAGCTCTCCTGTTTCCATGTGAATGAGCTCGCCTATGCAGCAAGCTGCCGTGCCACTGTCAGGCACTGACCCAGGTCTAGAGCTAGGAAGAAAAAGCTTCAACTGTTTGGCCACCATACTTAAATGACAGAAAAAAAATATATATTACTGCTTTTACACACACACACCCTGTACACTCTCTGTTAAAGAAAATCCTACAATGTAGCAGCAATACACATGTGACAGATAGTGTGAAGAGGTTAACTCAGAATCCCCTCTCCTCAGTAGCTCCCCTGCCTCTTAACCTTTTACAGCTTGCTTTCTCTTCCCCAGAAGCTTCCCTGCCCTTCAAACTCATTCCTCTACTTATACGTTGCTTCAGCCTCCAAGCCCCCTTTGTCTTTGCCTCCTCAGATAGTCTGTGCAAAGTCAGGCTGTGCACACAATATACCCTTCTGCCAGCCACTGAGCCGCTGCAATCACAATTAAAGCCCTGAGATGTACCAGAAGCAGGACTGGGAAAATGAAGCAGGACTGGGAAACACGCCAAGTTTGAAAGCTCGTTTAAAACCCCAACACACCACACCACTACCCTCCCCCAAACTCACACAAAACAGAGCAAAATCGCAAAGTGCACCCACTGGCCACAGCAAAGGAGTGGCAACTTCTTCGTACTTCTAGACAGTGTAACTATAGGCCTTGGTTGAGGTTTTCCGAAGTATGTAGGACATGGAAAAATCCTTCCTTCGAGATGAGATCTGCTCGTCTTTTGGCACAGTGAAGTCAGTTATCTGTTCATGAGCGTAAGCATTTGCAGGACAGGGCTCTCAGAACCAATTCTGGAATTTTTATGCTATCCTCTTCATTAAGCATAACTGATTGCCCCTAGTGCCTTTAACATCACTGACCTTGGGGATCTGTTGACCTAGAGCCAATCTGTCACATATGGTGTTATTCTAGTGGTTCTGCCTCACAGATATGGAAGTCGAGACCTTTCCTAAAAACAGAATCTAGCTTGAGAAATGACAGACCCTATTCAGACATTAGAACTACAACCAATTTATGTTACTTCAGAGAAGACCCTTTGCATGAGATATGAAAGGCCAGCACAACGTACACTTCAAACTACCCGATGGCTTAGTGACTCCAGAAGGGAAACTGAACAATTCCTTCTCATTAAGCAATATCCCATTTCTTAATATGCTACAATTTTTAACTTGTATCATATAAACTCAAGGTATTGACTACAGATGTCCTAGTCCCACATCAGAGGATTTACAGGAATCACAGCAAGTTGTTCTAGGAGAACATAGGAGGTTCCTACAAAAAAAAAAAAAAA